AAAGTCTTTTCTAATAGCCTAGTTCAGAAACGAGCTTACTCCAAACAAGCTTCACACCTTTAAAATAACCTTCTCCAAGACCAACTTCCCTACTGCAAAGTTTATAATACGGATTAGTTTTTCAATCTACTACACTATCATCCAACCATAATGCAATGAAGTGGTCTCAAAACAGCAGTTATTATAACGTTACAAAGGACCACTATGTGCACATTTGCACAAGAACTTCCGGCACTTAAATTTAAGTAATCCCGTTTTTATCTCGTAAATTTTGCAAAATGCAATTCAAGCAAGCTGTCAGGAATAACAAGTCTGTTAAAACTATTACCTGCGGCAACACTAAGTTCATTCTTGTTGGTAATTGTTAGTGCATGACCACCAGATAATTCTTGGCAGGTTTTCTCAAAGTCTTCAATAGCAGTTCCATCTGTACGCTAAAAAACTATAAAATTTCAATGTTTACCGTCACGAAAATGATAGAATTTCACGTGTAAAACCATCTAATTTTAATCCAGGCTTAAGGGTCAGAGTTTATATAAGGACTCAAAAATACAGTGTTTCCATAAGTTTGTTTTTACAATATTCTCATTTTTTGACAAACTGGTCAAACTGTTATTCTTAATTAAAATCATTTACAGAACAGATTTTTAGAATCTGAGAAGTCTTACGTATTCTAGCAAACAGTAATTTTGAATACCATCATATACTAAAAAATTTGAATGCAGTTGATCGCTTCCATTTTGATAGATGTCATGACAACGTCCAATGATTTCTGTAATTAGCGCTTCGTATAACGTAGAAGACTAGTTCCAAAGTGTTTTAGCAATTCAATTAGTATACTAAATTCCTTAGAAATTGTTACACTTGAAGCTTAACATGCTTTTTGATGGAGATACTTTTTGTAGAACAAGAGATGAATTTAATAAGATGATCATAAATCTAGTTTTTAATTTAGGAAAATCTGATAAAGCCTAAAAAACCTAATTCAAGACATTATTCGTTAATAAATTGAGCTTTATTATAGTAGATATCAGTAAAAGCGATGGGAAGACTTACTATATGATTCGTTAGCAAATGTTCTCCATTTTTCGTCAAATTTCTGCAACCTTTAAACATCATTTGCTTTATTAAAAAAGAAAGAACCAAAATTTTTGATTTATGTTCTAGAAAGCAGAAACCAGCGAGGGTTATTGAAGTTTATTCTGATTAATATACATGTATGATGCAGTAAAAGTCTTCAGTTCTGTAATTAATTGAAGAAAATTGGGCTGCTAAAGAACGCCAATAGTTATGAACACTTAGTGCAAACTTTACGGAAACATCCGGATGTGTCACAGTTTCGAAGAGAAGCTTCTGCATCGGTAATTTCCAGTTTTGCTGTGTAGCCTAAAGCTTTGACAGTTTTTAAAATCACCTTGCAAGGTCTAAATTGAGTGACCGAACTTTCAAAAAAAATCCGCTTTTGTGCCTTTAAATTGAAAACATATAAATATCAGAAGTATTTGAATCAAATTCATTAGAACTTCAAATTCTGAACTGCCTTTAAAGATGTAGACAAGCTCACGGAGATAATTTATACAAGAATTTTGTAAAACGCACTATGCCCAATGCGCTTCTTAGTCATACTTCAGTTGTTTTCAGAGGACCGATGAGATGAAAAGAAATAATATAGTGCTTGGAAAAAAAAAACAGGTTGTTTACGATTACATTCAGCACATACTTTTGCTGATAAAATTTTCTGAAATAAGGACAGCTAAAATTGAGCAAAAACAAAGGAGCCACCGCATGCTTTAGCAAGTTTTTCTGAATGCTCACCGTTCATGAATATACCCTTCTTAAAATTCTTTGAAAACAAATCAATCATTGAAATGGTGATGAAATGTTAGTGGAAGTAATGCCTAACAAGCCATTATTGATAGGCTGATATTTAGAGGACAGTAGCCGATTTATTACTGATACTGATGATCAACAGTAAATTTCGAAACAGTAATACTAATACTGATAGATAAAAAGGATTTTTACTTTGTTATATCGACCTCCAGCAATAATTTCTAACCGCAGGTTTTCCTGGTAGTTCACATTTGATTTCTACAAGCAAATTTCTTTCACTTTTCTTTAAGACCGTACAGTTCAAATAAACCATAGCAAGTGATATCTTTGCCTCTTCTAAAATCAACTAAAAAAAGAAAACAAACTCATAAAATATCAACTTAACAAAAAACTCAAAATTTTTACGAACTGTTATGAACAATGAACAATTTCAAGCCGTTATGATATTTGATTTTTAGAGGATCACACGTATTTTTCTAATTATTGTAAAATAAAACAGCAAAACTAGTAAAGCACACATAGTAAAACAGTTAATAATGCTCAGGCGTATAGCAAAAAGAAAACTCCGGTAAACAGAAATGACAGTGAAAAGAAAAACTTCACTAGTCAAGTAGTAAAATCGAAGTTATTTTTCAGCAACAAAAATTTATTGACAATTTCAGACTTACTTTTTATCTTTTCCGACGTTTACCATTCATATAATTTGAAAGAATATGTTAAGTGATAAATCAACATTATCGGGCTTACAAATGATCATCTTTTTGCTCCATACTTTATGCTTTTAGTTCAACAAAAGCCTGTATTGAAAAAGCATTTGTTATGATCAGCACAATATTATAAACGAACAACCACCGTTGAGGCACACCGTAAACTATTGAACTCATTGTTTACGTACTTTAGTTGACCATGATGAACCGACAGCTAAACATCCTTTACTGGCAAAATTTATCGGTTTATCTGAGGTTTGATCACAGCATTGAATACACACACTCAGGCTTAATGTACTCTAAAATGATGGCTTGTTCCTCCTGTTGTAAAAAAAAACCAAATAGACAGTTATACTATGCTGTAGCGAAACTTCTTTGCCCTAACAGTAACTTAATTTGAATTAAATTTGGGCTCAACGAAGTCTACAGGATTACGATTAGTTTCCCTTATATCAAACTACCGTAATTTACTCCAGTTAGCTTATAGAGCTCTCTTACCCTAAGCTCAATGTTACCAGGCTTTGAGTGTCTCCACTTCTCTTAGTTCTATTAATTTGATGTTAAACCGATAGGTAGATAAAAAGATAAAATTTTTTTGTTAAAGAAAAGAGAGAAAAACAGTAAGTCAGATAGAACGTATATGACACAAATTCGTTTGTCAATATTTACAGACAGTTTGTTTTATTTGAGATTTATCATCCGTATAAAAGAGCCACAGATTTAAATAGTAAAAGAAATAAAAAAGAATACAAATTAAAAGAATGAAAAAAGCACACGAAAGAAGAATAACAACAAAACCAAAATTTTCAACATGAACTGTAAATAACCATTAACCTTTAACAATGTCTGATGATCCAAAACAGAGGAACACTGTAAATTTTAAGAATCAGCATCGACTCAAAATAAGACATTTTCGTTGTCTAGGAGGGGCTTAATAACAACAGTAGCAAGCATCATCACAATCCACTTTCAAGTTTCGTTTTTTTTTCTTTGGTCTTCCAAAGTGGACAGAGTCCTTTGTTTCAAAAAACTGATATTACAAAGAGTAAAGAATGTTCATTGTAGACGAGTCTCGAAGAAAAACTTATGTTATGAGATTTGAACTAGTTAAATGAACAAGTTGGTACTTTTATAAGAACAATGTTTTCTTCAAGATGCTTCGCGAAATAACGAAACGAAGTAGTTTGGCCCTTATATGGCTCATATTTTATTTTACATTAAAGTGATAAATTCTGCTCAGATAGCTGGATAGGGCAGTTATGCAGAGTCAGTTGAAATGTTTTTTGTCATGATCTAAAGACTGTCGTTTTTTTACTTTACTCGTTTTTCAGTCATCAACTAAAGTTCTCTTAATTTTTAAAGTCACTATTTTTTAAAACCCTTCTTACCCACCTTCAATATATGAAGTCATTTACAGTCTAATTTTGGCTTCAAACTCTTTTTGCAAATCAACTTCCTCTGTTTTCAAAATATTTGGTAATGATGTGCAGAACTCTAAACAGAAAAAAGTGAAGTAATGCTACGCTCGGGGAAGACTGCAGACAATATATCTTTTCTTTAGGTTTTTTCTTGCTTTTTATTTAAAACAGGGCCCAGTTAATTACCCCCTGGCCTATTCGTTACTTAGTAATTTCAATTCATACTGCAAGAACAAACCGCTAATACGCTGCGAAAAACTTGGTGCCTTCTTGAGGCAGTAAAAAGAGATCTACTACAATGGTTTCTATTTATTACAGTAATATTTAAAAGGTTGCTGTCGAGGCAACCACAAAGTTCATTCAAAATATTTTAACAATTCGACCGGATAAACGCCTCAACACTTCCAAATCCAACTTTACCAGAATTAGACTCAAAGATAAAAATTAAATCAGAGATTCCATTTTATGACTTTTGAAAGCCGTATTGTTCATTCTGTCATTTCTTCAGCACAGCCAGTTTCCTCACTTTTATCGTCATCTGTCACAGAAGAAAAGCCAAACTTCGTTAATAAGGAAGCATCTGCCACATGCATTACGTAGTCTTTCCTCCTGCATTACTTGTTTTTAATAGAACGAATGTATTCGACAGCTTTAAATATAAAATTGCAGTACGGGAAAATAGAAATAATCAGTTCAACTAACTGACAACGGAACTACTTCTGAAGCTTTCTCGCACTGCAGCAGCCACAGAGAATCAATGACGTTATGTTTATTTGATCTCACTATGGCTTTCGTTTTTATGTGATGAAGTTCGCCAGAAATCACAAACTCCGTTTTCTTGGCTAAAAATGTGATTTGCGTCCTTAGTTGACACCATCGGCAACAAATAAAATAAAGGAAAAGTCAAACAAGTTGTGCTGGTAAGGACTTTCGCAACCCCACAACTGACTTACTTGGATTAGCAACGCATGTTCCACCAAAAGACTCAACTATATCTCTCAATTTCTGTATAGTTACATCACCAGAACCTCTTAGTATGCAGAACTGGATTCCTTTGAATCCTGTACCGACTTCGTCAACTTTCGCTTTTTTAACCACTTTGTACTCATCCATCACTTGCGGTACTGCCGCAGGCTTCTTACGCTCTGAAGGAGCTGCACTTCCAGCAGCAGCAACACTTTGGGCTCTTAAAATCTAGAATAAAAAATTTATGGAGAAATCTGGAAGTGCTAAAATAACTCTGAAATGAGTGCTTGAAAGTAGGCATCAGATTAGATGAAAGAAACTAACCTCGTCAAACTCTTGGAATGCTTCATAAGTATCAATATCTGTCACCGGTTTATCATCCCGATAAAATTTTATTACTGGAGCATGGAGCCTATTATCAACAACTCCTTTAGC